CCACGCACGTTCCTCTGTGAGGCATGCTGTCTGTTCGACCGAATCCAACTCCATACCGAGAAAAGAGATCCTCTGCGACGGGGAGAGTTTGCTCTTTTCCCAGTTGACCTGAAGGCCCAACCGGCTGAGGTGCGAAAGCACCAAGTCCCTGTGTGCACACAACTGATGCTGAGACTGAGCTAGTATGAGCCAGTCGTTGAGGTAGTTGGGAATGCGAACGCCCTGGTCTCTCATGGGAACAAGGGCTGCCTCCGCAACTTACGTGGAGACGCGGGGCGACAGGGACAGCCTGTAGGGCAGGACCTCGTACTGATATGCTCGTCCTTCGAACGTGAACCACAGAAATGGTCTGTAGAGCGGAAGGATCGACACATGAAAGTACGCATCCTTCAGGTCGATTGCTGCAAAACAATCTTGGGGACGGATGCACCCGAAGATGCGTTTCTGCGTCAACATCTTGAACGGTAACTGGCGAAGGGCCTGGTTCAAGACACGCAGATCCAAGATTGGTCATAACCCACCGCCTTTCTCGGGTACAATGAAGTAAGGGCTGTAAAACTGCTTTCATATCGGCTGGAGGGACTGACTCTTATCGCATCCTTCGCCAGTAGGACTGCGATCTCCGCACGCAAGACAGGATGGACACAATTGCATCGCAACTGACCGCTCCACCGGGGGGACCCTTGTATACCCCCTAGCTGCACCACTGTCGAGGGTGGTGAGGGAGGAGGAACCAGCAGGTCGGTTTCCGGCAGTAAAAGGTGCCGTCCATGACCTGGTGAGCTCCTCATGCACCCCCGGGAAGAAAGGCACTGAGGCGGGGTGCGAGCCACCCCGAGAAACCAATTGTCCAACCTCGAGGGCACAGTGGAGGTTTCCACTCGAGCCCTACCCTCTCGGCGGCCCGGGAAAGCATAGCCGACATCTTTGGATCCAATTCAGGCCTTGCCACCACCGGCAGCGCAGCTAAATCTTCCTCTCCAGAGAGCTCTCCCTCCGATGCAGTGATCGACAACAAAGGCAATGGAGCTCCGCCCCCCTGGAGGAAATGGAGCCTAGCCCGCAGCTCCAAGATGGTCATCTTCCCGTAATGGGAACATGACTCATCCGCGAACGCCACCTCAGCTTGTTTAATGCCCAGACACGTGAGGCAGCGATCGTGACCATCACCCGGCGCCAGGTAACGACCGCATCCAGTTACGCACGGGTGATACGGCATCTTTAAAAAGACGATCCGTCATCTTTACAAAGACACACCTGCTTATTGTACTCTTTTAGAGAAATTGGCTCTTTTAGAAGCGAGATCCCAATTCGTCGGTCACCGATATGACTCGGAGTGACCGACTGAAAGGGAACTAGTAAAGTAATGCATTACTTTTCAATTTAGAAGGAAATATCTGAGTTACTTTTTCAAATAAGTAACGCCAGTTACTTTGTTTCCCATGTCTTGACTGACAGCTCTCATGTTGCCATGTTGAGAGAAATCAGGAGTAAGTACAGAGGCGTTGTGTGCACATGATGTTCCTGTAGTTCTAGACTAAATATGAACATGCATTTACTCATCTCACCTGCACAAAAACAGATTCAGTATTCCTCAAAATGGATAAAATCAGTCAAATGCAAACTCAGAATATTATACAAACCTGCAATAATTAAATATGTTAAATAAGACAAATATAATGTATGTATTTAATCCCATTTTATTAACCAATGTCTTTGCAACTGATCTTCGATGATCCAATTCAACCATACTAAGCAAAAATTACACATTTGTGTTTCATTTTTGTTATTGCTTAATAGTGTTGAACTTTCTTCTCCTGCATCATATTCTTCATACAGTTTGTTTGAGCTGCACCCTCTACTGTAGATGTAGATTTACATTTCCTTCAGCGTATTCATTTCATTTTAGTTGTGAAAGGGCTTTTTAAAGGGTTCATAGGATGCGACATGCACTTTTACAAGTTGCTTGAACTGAAATGTGTGTTGTCAGTGTGTGTACACAAC